AACGAGGTAGTATAGCGTGATGTACATCGGAGGCTGGTTCGCAGTCAGAAAGGCCGGCTTGAGAGCGGCACGGTAGCGAGCGTCACTAGAGCGAAGGTGGGTCATGAGGTCAGCGATAGTGTGGAAATCCGACAGCTCAGGAAAGAGGTACGGCAGCATGATACGGCCTAGGGCAGCAATAGAGGGGGAGGAGTAACGAGCAACTACGGCGTCATAGAGTTCCTTCGCCGTCTTAAGCTGGCCAAAATGGACTCGTTCCTCTAGCGGGAGGGCATTGCGGACAGAAAGGCGTGCGGCAGCATCGCGCGTGAGCCACTGAGTACGAAGAACACGATCAGCTGATTCCTCAGGGGCAAGTCAAGAACCGGACATGTGCTCTAACAGTGCAACGTCCTCCCTAGCTATGCTCTGCAGGTACAGCTGGAGATCCTCGAGCTAGCAGTCAAACCTAATCGGGCGATCCTCCACATCAAAGGTAAGAGTAGCCATAGTGGGCAGTAGCAGTGGCAGTAGCAGTGGCAGTAGCAACAGCAGCAGCAGTAGCTTATCCAAGGTGCATGCTGTGCGGGCCTGAAGGTAAGAGTAGCCATAGTGGGCAGTAGCAGTGGCAGTAGCAGTGGCAGTAGCAGTGGCAGTAGCAGTGGCAGTAGCAGTGGCAGTAGCAGCAGCAGCAACAGTAGGTTATCCAAGGTGCATGCTGTGCGGGGCTGAAGGTAAGAGTAGCTATAGTGGGCAGTAGCAGTGGCAGCAGCAGCAGCAGCAGTAGCTTATCCAAGGTGCATGCTGTGCGGGGCTGAAGGTAGATGTTCATGTGTTACACCCAAATTGCATGGACCTTTGTCCTCTTGTAGAGATTTATTTTCTTAGTAATTGAACAACAGTTTCTAAACTAGACACAAATACCTTCCAATAATTCCAATCACAGACATTTTTCACAATCACTTTAGCAAGAACCAGGAGCAAAGAGTCCATTGACTCGAGATCTCTTGATTTATTCAGAGCGTGCAGCGTATCTCTCCTTGATGTCAAAGGAGCAGTTAATTCCAACCATCGCCTCTCCCAGCCCGCAGCTCACCTCCGCCACCACCTTGGGATCTGTACCAGTCAGTGGGAAAGAAGAGAGAAGGAAGTGAGTAAAACACCACTTCATCCTAAACCCTGGGACTAGGACCCTGGCCACACACAGCCTCTCATTACAGACAGCCACATGCGTCTATCAACCAATAATGGCCTGGAGATGTGATATGAAAAGACTCACCTGTGTAATGGGTGACAGCTTGCACAATGGCACGAGCGCGCTTGGCTGGATCTCCGCTCTTGAAGATGCCCTGATATGTGAAAGGATGTAGGTGCGGACGGTAGGGACCAAGGTGAGAAAAGGGAATTTAATGGCGCCTCAACAGTTCACAGGGTCTCCACTCTCGAAGATACCCTTGGATATGAAAGGATGGAGAAGAGGCCAAGGGAGGAACCATAGAGAATGGGGTTGGAAAAAGGGCCACGACATAATGAAGGCGGCTAAGTGGGAAAAAAAAAAAAAAAAAAAAAAAAGTTGTTGGGTGTGGGAGGGAAAGGGCGCCAGGAGGGAACAGGAGGTGTGGGGGAGGGGGAGTGGAAGGGTGGATGGAATACGATAGGGGCGGAATAAATAGTTGTTGTGAGTTCAATCTATGCTAGAACGGAGGAACAGAACACTCGAAATGGTTTGATTCAGGCAAACGCCAGCAGCAAGGTTGGGGGGTCGAAAGCTGAGCTGCAATGACAGCTACAACAGAAATTGCTACATAATTAATGGCGCAATGTGAGCGCCTCAACGTTCGGAAGGTGAGCTGTGATGACAGCTACAAACGACAGAATCACTACGAAGCTAATGGCACATGCCCCGCACGCCCTCACCGTGACAGCTGTCAATGCCCATGTGGCATGCAAACTTCGGTCTCTCTTGAGAGCTCTCAAAATAGCTACAACTACAGTCAATCCCCAACCTTACAAGGCACGCGAACGCACCCCACCTGCAGGGGCAACACGTGGAACGAACAACTAGAGGCATAGCTTACCGAGCCCACGAACACGCCGTCGCATCCCAGCTGCATCATCATGGCGGCGTCCGCGGGCGTCGCGACGCCGCCCGCCGCAAAGTTGACCACTGGCAGCCTCCCCAGCTCCCGCGTCTGCTTCACCAGGTCCAGCGGCGCGCGCAGCTGCGGTCCACAGCGGGGCGGGTTGCACATAGCGGAAGGGGCGGAGGGGGGAGGGGGGAGGGGGGGGAAGCGGGGAGGGGGGAAGGGTGAGGAGCGAAGGAGGAACGGGAGAGGCACAGAACGAGGAAGAGGAGGGCAATGACGACTGTAAGGGAACCGGCAAACCGTTAGGTAAGATTGCCAGGTGAAGGTGGCGATAGTGAGTTACAGTAACCTAAACATTTATCGGCCAAGGTGTTGTATGCGGTAACACGTATTTGTCTTCCGTGCATTCACGCACTCCCAGAAAGTACATTCGCCTTGACGTTCCTCCATTCGTCAACGTAAACCAGATTCGTGATTCATTCATAAAAGCTTCAAACAAAATACCCCGTGATGAAGGGTTTAGGAAACACGGGGCCCACTTAAATCCTCTCACTTCCGCCCACGCGCCCACACAAACGACAGGCACCATACAGAAACCTCAACCAAAAGTTTCACTTTCACAAGGCACCTCAGAAGCCACCAACATACCTCCTTCGCGAAGACGTAAAGCTCATCCTCGTCAAGAGCCTTGAGCCGTCGGATCTCCCCTTGCACGGATCGGACGTGCCTGACGGCCTCGATGACATCCCCGGTGCCCGCCTCGCCCTTGGTGCGGATCATCGCCGCGCCTTCCGCCACGCGCCGGAGCGCCTCCCCCAAGTTGCGGCATCCGCAGACGAACGGCACGGCGAAGCGGTGCTTGTTGATGTGGTTCACGTCGTCGGCGGGCGTGAGCACCTCCGATTCGTCGATGTAATCGACGCCGATCGCCTCGAGAATCTGCGCCTCGACAAAGTGCCCGATGCGCGCCTGGTGAGGGGCGGGAGCAACGGGATCGAGATAACTGTTTAGGGCATCGGATCGGCAGAAATGAAAAGCAAGGGGAACGGCAAGGGGAAGGGAAAGGGGAAGGGGAAGGAAAAGGAAAAAGACAAGGAAAAGGGAAGGGGAAGGGGAAGGGGAAGGGGCACATCCAGACAAGTAGAAGAGTTGATCGCGTGCAAAAAACATTCGCGGAAAGAGCGGTAAACGCGCAACGTACCTTAGCCATGACAGGAATGGTGACGGCCTTCTTGATCTCCTTGATCATCTCTGGATCGCTCATGCGCGCCACGCCGCCTTGCGCGCGAATATCCGCCGGCACCCGCTCCAGAGCCATAACTGCACAGGCGCACGGCAGACACAGGAGGAGGATTGTAGAGAGGGCAGAGAGCAGGGAACGAGAGAGGCGAACAGAGAGCAGAGAGCGGTCGCCGCAGCAGTCAACGAAACCGCGATTCAAAAGATCCTGGATCCTACCAGCTGGCCAACTGAGCAAGTTCTCTTGAGATGACGCCGCCAGCGGCACAGCAAGACCGAGGCGCGCTTCGACCGTCGCAGATCAGGAGAAGCCGGATGTGGCGGACGGAGTAAAACTGCGATCTTCCGTCACAGCATGAGATCCGCGACACGGGAACTCACACAAACAACCCACGAGACGCGTGCGGAACCAGCAAGCAGCAACAGATAGATCTCTACGAGGCATCTGTCTTTGCGTCGGCCCAACCAACGAACCTGCTACGGCGCCAGCCTCCTCCGCGATGCGCGCTTGCTCCACATTGACAACGTCCATGATCACGCCGCCTTTGAGCATCTGCGCCAAGCCCGCCTTCACCGAAAACGTCCCCGCGCCCGCCTCCGCCGCGCCATTGTAGGTCGCGACGACCCCGTTTCCGCTTCCGCTCATGGTGGCGTGCGTGCTTGCGGATCTGTGGTCTTTGGATCAGAGTTGAGTTCGTCGAAGCGACGGACTTGGTTCGGGCGAGGAGGAATGGTTAGGAGCTAAGGCAGAGGAGGACGTAGAGGATGTTGCGAGCAACCAGACGCTCTGCTGTTGCGAACGTTGCTGGACAAAAAGAGGAAATGTACCTTGATACGAATGAGTTTTGAACTTCTGAGAGAGTTTTGAGGAAGGGGAATTTCAAGAGGTTTTACGGCGACAAACCAAAGCAACACAGGCGCGCGCAGGGATTTAGGATCTGTGGAAGAAAGGGGGGAACCTAGAGATGATGGGGCGGAAGGGCAGGGGGAAACACGCTGGCGCGCGGAGAAAAAGCGGACATGAGCACAGTGATAAGGGGGAGAGCGGGGAGAGCCTTGTGTGGATTTCGGAGGGGGGGAAGTGTACAGCCTAGAGATTTGTCCCTTGGGAGCGGGTTCTTGGGAGTGTCGGAATAGGATGTGGTGAGGTGCGGTGGGATTGAGAGGGATTAGTTACACCAAAAGGATGTTGCTTGCACGCAATCAAGGGAATGGGGGAAATGTGACAATGCGGTGCGTGTGTGGATGTACGTTTGTGACTACGTCGAGGCCCGCCATGCAGCCACGATTGGTCGAGTGTCTCCAAGCCTCGGTTTTGGAGTAACAGAACGAGCTATTGACGTGGCAGCGGCGGAATGGTGCCAGGAGAGGCTGACGCAGCCCAAAAAGTTCTCCCGGCGCGGCAGAACAAGCCAGATGCTGCATGAGGGGGAAGACCTCCACGTTGCGATGGGACTTCCTGTGCTGCTGGCAGCGGCTCTTGAAAGGCCACAGATCGACGTGGCCTGCGCGAGCAGAGGCGCGTCTGCGGTTCATGAATGGTGCCACGCAATCACGCATCTGTCAAGGCTCCATTCTCGTTTGTATCAAAACTCTTACGTGCCTTGTTGAGAAAGACGAACACCTTACTAAAGTTGCAAAATTATGGAAGCAAGACGCAGTGCAATTTCTATGGGGAGAACAAAACACTTGCATTCATGAAGCATCCTCCTCATCAGCATCGTCCTCCAAGTCAATCTCATTTGGATCAAGGGCTTTATACGCACTTGCATCTTTATCTCTATTTTCTTGCTCCCCCTGCTCGCCACCAATCTCACCCTCATGTCCATTTTGCCAACTGCTTCCTCCCGGTTCCCTTTCCAGCGCACCATCATCTGCATCTCCATAAGCAGGTATGCTGTCAGGGTCCTCAAACGTGTCTGGAGGGCAAGAGTCACTGTTCCATATCGCTACATTGCCCACGCGAAATAAGGTAAATCAAAGAGAGCAAGACACAATCAATTTGGAACACGAAACGTGCAAAATAAGGTAAAACAAAGGGAGGAATGGACAATCGAATCGGAACAAAAAGCAAGCAGGGTATACAAATAAAAACAGGTTGATGAACGGATGGAGGAAAAGGTTGCAAGTGACATGAAAACAAGGCGTAGCGGCGGCGGCAGGTAAATATATTGACGGGGAAAGCACACATCAATCAGATCGGACCAGCATTGTTTCGACATACTGGGACTGGCAGCAGCGGCTGGCGGAGGTGCTGGGGAGGGCGAGGGGGCTCCCCCCCGGAGAAAGGTGGAGTGAGGGAGGTCCAATAGGTCGAGAAACGCTGCCGTTTGTGGGTTGAGGGTTGTTGCTGGTACACGGTGGACGGCGGAGGGGGTCGGGAAGGGGAGCGGGAACGGAAGGGAAGGAGGGGGGAGAAGGGGAAGGGGGTGTTGGGGAGGGGGGGGTAAGGGGGAAGAAGGTTGAAAGGGAAGCCTGGAATAGTGAAGCAGTAGTTGGAGCTGCAAGCAATAGGCAAGAGAACATGTGAGGCTTACGGAAAGATGGAAGTTGTAGCACCAACAGGCAAACACATCACCCCCCCGCCCGCCCCTACCAGCAACGATAGCCACCGAGGCGAGAAGGAGCATCCAAAGAGAGTTAGGCAGAGGTGTGCAGAAGGCAGGGGTGACAGGGCGGAGTGGTGGCTTATCAAGCAACACAACTGCCTTGGCACCTCCTTGGTACTTGTACTCTCCCCCATGTGTGTCCATCCATCCACACACTTGAACACAAGCACACACCCACACACCCACACGCACACCCATGCACCCACCCGCCCACACACCCACATGCACACGCACCCGCCCACAGCAGAAACACACGAGCGTACATGAGAAGGTGGGCATGCGCGCATGCGGCCGGTCAGGGTCATGCGGCGGAGCAGTGGGAGAGAAGTTGGCGGGGATGGCCGCACCACCAGGCTGCTGGGCGAGACGCTGTGCCACCCAGTCTAGATGCGGTTGCACTGCCACCCCCCCTGGACTGATGTGGGCGGTTGTGGGATGTGAAAAAAAAAGGGAGGGATGTGAGCGGGAGAAGTGGGCTGCTGGGAGAGATGGTGCGCCACCCAGGCTAGGTGCGGCTGCACTGCCACTCCCCCTGGACTGATGTGGGAGGTGATGTAATGGGTGGGTGGGGTTTGGGGAGGGGAGGGATGTGAGAAGGAGAAATGGGTTGCTGGAAGAGACGGTGTGCCACCGAGTCTAGGTGTGGCTGCACTGCCACACCCCCTGGACTGATGCGGGCGGTGAGCATGGGGTGGTGGGTGAGCGTGGAGACGGAAGCGGAAGCGGCGGATGTGAGAGGGAGAACTGGGCTGCTGGGCGAGACGATGTGCCACCGAGTCTAGATGCGGCTGCACTGGCATCCCCCCAGGACTGATGTGGGCAGTGAGGATGTGGTGACGGGTGAGTGTGGAGAGGGGAGGGGAGGGGAACGAGAGGGGGAGGGGAAGGGAGTGGGGATGGGACGGAAAGAAGGTGGGATGCTGGGAAGGGAAAGAAAGTGGGAGGGGCAAGAAGGAGGAGAGGTTGGGTATGGGAAGGGTATGAGGGGAAATAAGTGGGCTTCAGGGAGAGAGAGGGTGGATGGACCATTCCTGATGCGTTGAAGGGACTCAGAAGGGTGCAGCAGAAGCGGTTCAGACTTGGAATGGGGGAGAGACGAGAAGGGAGGGATGAGATGGCGAGGAGAAAGGGGAGATGATGACGATAAAACACACACGTTGCATGCGAGTGGCTTTCCCGGGTCGAACGGTATCAAGGATGAAAGCACATGTTGCCATAGAGAGCGTCTGAAAGCACACACGCTATCAGTCTTGCGCAACAGCAATTGCTCAAAAGAAACCAGCCTCGTGCAGTGCCTGCCTGCCTGCCTGCCTGCCTGCCTGCCTTACGGGTAGACGGCTCCCGCACGGGAGAGCGGCAGGTAGGGTGCATAGGCACGCGTGACAGCCAGCCACTGTGGGTCATACTCCAACACCGGTGGTGCTGCTGCTGCTGCTGCTGCTGCAGAACCGTGTTGGTCAGCAGCTTGGGAGGAAGGAACATCGGGGAAATCAATCACCTGGGTGCGTGTGTGGAAGGCAGGGGTTGGGTTGGGGACGGGGTGGGGGTTGGAAGGGAGATAGGAGCGAGAGGGGTGGAGTGACAGACAGAGCAGGAACTGGTTGAATAGGAAAGACAGCTGGATGCTGAGAGGTTAGTGGGTGGTGGAAGCAAGGCAATGGTGGACTTGCCAACGGCGCAGCGAGGGATTAGTATACATGTACTCAGTGTATGTTTTTTTAGAATTCTCAAAAAAGGGATTAGTATACATGAACTCAGGAGGTGGTGGTGCACCTCACAGTGTGCCTCACAGTGTGCCTCACAGTGTGCCTTACAGAGTGAATTTCAGACCTGTAGGAACTGCCGTCCATGATTTTTTAGGCACCTCAAAAATCGTCTCAGTTCAGTTAACGCGTTTTTTCAGACCTGTAAGAACTGCCGTCCAGGCAGACACTTGTCCAAGGCCAAGAATCGAGTCACGCCCGAGGATGACGAGGAGGATAGGGATACACCGGCAGCAGCAGGAGAAGCAGCAGCAGCAGCAGAATGCTTAACCAGCGCGGAGAACTTCACGTGCAGGTGAGCAGAGAACCAGTAGGAGGGGCGCAGAGTGTGCAGCAGCGTCTCGCCTGCAGGGCTGCCTAGCGCATTCCGCTCGACCTCCCCGCGGAAGAATGGCTTGGTGCGCAGCAGAGAGGCCGTGTCCCCGTGCTGCTCCACCCCGCGCGGCCAGTCGTGTGAGAGAAACGCGTCCATGTGCGCGGATGGGAGGGACCCGTTGGTGGTGGAGGGGAGGGAGGAGAGGGAGGAGGGGAGGGATGCGAGCGCGGCGAGGCGGGTCACGTCGTATTCTCGCACGTGGTAGATGGAGCGCATTTGGGAGTTATCGTAGGGGGCGCGCTCGTAGTGACCTGCCTTGGTGGGAGGGAAGGGGGAGCAGGCGGGCAAGTAACAATGGCATGTTTGAAGTTGACTCTAAGAAAGTAGACTTTTGAGTCGACTCAAAAGTCAAGTATTCGCGCACGTGGGAGATGGAGCGCAGCTGCGAGTCGTTGTAGGGGGGGGCGCTCGTAGTGACCTGCGTTGGCGGCGGGGGGACACGAAGGGGAAGCAGCAAGCAAGTAAGAGGCTGCTACATTCGAGGTGCCTCAAGGCTCGTATTCGCGCACGTGGTAGATGGAGCGCATTTGGGAGTTATCGTAGGGGGCGCGCTCGTAGTGACCTGCCTTGGTGGTGGAGGGGACACGGAAAGGGAGCAGCAAGTAAGGGGGAGCAAACTTGGAGTCGACGCAAAGCAGGTATTCGCGCACGTGGTAGATGGAGCGCATTTGGGAGTTGTCGTAGGGGGCGCGCTCGTAGTGGCCTGGTGGGAGGGAAGGGGGAGCGGGCGGGCGAGTAACAGGAGCGAGTTTTGAGTTGACTCAAAGCAAGTGGTCGCGCACGTGGTGGTAGATGGAGCGCAGCTGCGAGTCGTTGTAGGGGGGCGCGCTCGTAGTGGCCTGTGTTGGTGGGAGTGACAGGGGAGCGTGGTGAGCAGGAGGGTGAGGCGACAGAAGGAAAGAGGAGGAAGGCCGTGAGAGGAACGGGGAGGGGCGAGGGGGAGGGAAGGAAGGGAGGGGAGGAGTAGGACAGGAATGAAAAGAGGGCAACTGCAGGTGAGATTTTGAGGTAGAGGGTTTGGAACTGGTGGCGGAAGCGAGGACGAGAGGTGATTGCTGTGTGATGCGCACATGCACACCGCCTCTGTGCCTCCCTCCCTGCCCTGCCCTGCCACCCCTCCCCTCCCATTTACCAAGGCGGTAGTCGTGGCTCTTGTAGATCCCCGACAGCCCTCCTATGCGCAACCCTCCAAACCGCACCACCCCTGCAAAGCCCAGGAAGTATATGCTGGGAGCCGCCCACCCACCGAAGTAGCTGGTGTAGAGTGGGGGGTGGGGTGGTTTGGGAGGGAATGGGGGAGACTTGAAGGGGGTGGGTGGGAGAGAGCAAGGAGCAGAAGTCGAGGTGGGTTGGAATGAGGGGAAAGGGAACAAGCGAGAGGGAGGGGAAGTACGGAGGAATGGGGTGGGGAAGGGGCGGGAGCAAGGTGCGTAAATATGGGACAAGAGATAGAATAACAAGCTTTGTTGAAAATTAGAGATGCAAAAACTTCCTTTTGCACCTGTCACCATTCTATCCCTTCCCCAGATCCCCCGTTTCTTCTTTTACCCCCTTCCCACCCCTCCCCCCCCTCCCCTCTCTTCCCCTCCCCCCTCCCCCCTCCCCTCCCCTCCTCCCCTCCTCCCCCCCTCCCCCCACCCCTCCTCCCCCCCTCCCCCCCACCCCTCCTCCCCTCCTCCCCCCTCCCCCCTCCCCTCCATCACGCACAGATCCCAGAGGTAATTCGACGCCTCATGGTTGCCGCCCACGAAAACGGTCGGCACGGGCGGCGTCTCTCGTCCGGCATAGTACTTCCAGAAGCTGTTCATGCTGCGGTACTTGGGCGGACATGCCAGCGACTCCAAGTCGCCCGTGTTGCGAATGGCCTGACAGGGGCAGGCAGGGGCAGGAGGAGAAGAGGATGTTTGGGGGCGTCAGTTCAGTCAGAAGCTGTTCATGCTGCGGTGCGGTACTTGGGGAAGGATGCTTGGGCGGACATGCGAGCGACTCCAAGTCGCCCGTGTTACGAATAGACTGGCAGGCAGGCAGGGGCAGGAAGGGAGGGTGTTTAGGCGCGTCAGTGATAAAGAAGCTGTTCATGCTGCGGTGCGGTACTTGGGCGGACATGCCAGCGACTCCAAGTCGCCCGTGTTGCGGATGACCTGGCAGGCAGGGGCAGGAGGAGGGAAGGATGTTTGGGCACCTCAGTCAGAAAGAGGCTGTTCATGCTGCGGTATTTGGGGAAGGATGTTTGGGTTGGGTGGGCAAGCGACTCCAAGTCGCCCGTGTTGCGGATGACCTGGCAGGCAGGGGCAGGAGGAGGGAAGGATGTTTGGGCACCTCAGTCAGAAAGAGGCTGTTCATGCTGCGGTATTTGGGGAAGGATGTTTGGGTTGGGTGGGCAAGCGACTCCAAGTCTCCGTGTCGCGAATGGCCTGGCAGGGGCACGAATTAGGCAGGGTGTTTTTGAGAACTCTCAAAAACAAAAACACCCTGCAGCATCTGCGAATGGCCTGGCAGGGGCACGAATTAGGGAGGCGGGTGGCGGATGAAACGGGAATTGGAGGAGAGGGGAGGACGTGACAATGGGAAGCGGGGAGGGGGGGGAGAGGGGGAGGGAAGGAGAGGGGGGGGAAACCGGGGGAGGGAGTGGGGGAAATGAGGGAAATGGGGGATAGGAGGAGAGAAGCCTGACGCGCATCAATCAAAAGCTGTTCTGATCTGATTGAGGATCCGCCTCACCTGGACTGGAAGTCACCGCAGCACAGCAGCAGGTCGATGGGAATGCCTCGCTGCCGTCGCATGTGGTCGATCGTCGCATTTTGAGTCGACTCAAAACACGCCATTTCACCTGCAAGCCGCCGCACCTGCAAGCCACCTCACCTGCAAGCCACCTCACCTGCAAGCCACCTCACCTGCAAGCCACCTCACCTGCAAGCCCACCTCACCTGGAAGTCACCGCAGCAGAGCAGCAGGTCGATGGGAATGCCTCGCTGCCGTCGCATGTGGTCGATCGTCGCATAGATGTCGTCCAGCTCGCCATGCGCGCAGCCCTGCACCGCCACCTGGAGGTGCGGAGAGGGGTGGAGAGCAGTGGAGAGGGGATAAGTGAGCAGCAGCAATGATCGGTCCAACTCGCCGTTTAGCGAGGATCTGCACCCACCACCTCGAAAGGCGGAGACGAAAGAAGGAGGAAATGACGAGGAAGGGACGAGGAAGGGACGAGGAAGGGACCGCGGAGAACGTAAAGAGCCGTCAGATTAGCAGTCTCGGTGTACAATGGAGCCGAATCGGACAAGCGCTTGCGACAGATTGAGAGAGAGAGAGAGAGAGAGACGGAGGAGGTGATGGAAAGTACTCGAGACTTTGATTCAGTTGAAAGGTAACTTTCGGACGGTTGTCAGGACGAGAACAGAGCTGAATTCTCCCTGTTGCGGTTTAAATCGGTCAAATTCGACCGTGCTATAACAAAGCTGGATTCAGTACCTTCATCGTAGCTGTCTGCGATTCGATCGCCGCGCGAGTCGCGGACGAGACGACAGGAGGAGGCAGAGGAAAATACCAAGGCGGCGAACGAGGTAATATTTAGGGGTAAGGTCGTGTACATATGTTGTTTCTTCACACACTCTGCCTGCCAGTTCGCTATTCTGGACTGAATGCTCTGTTCCCGTTATTGCAAGCCTACAGAGGTCTTGAGTCGTAGCTGCCCATCTCCGAGTAATTAGCAATCAACAAACAGAAGTTCAGCCAAGGATATAAACATTTACAATGCTGGTCTATACAATCCGCACAACCAAAGAAGCCCTTGTACTACGTACAATTAAATTACTCAAAATAATTACACCACATCGCATCGCATCACATCAGCTGTCGGCAATACATGGCATTCCAGGGCCACTTCTTGTACTTGCACGCGCAGTGTGGCCTGGGGTGTCCGATGCACACTCCCTTGTTCTTGCACTGCCCCGCACCCGTAATCATATTTGTCCCACAGAACATGGAACAAGCCGAGGCCACCTTTTGGGGCTCAGCGCATGACGACGACGGGATGAAGCAGTTCCCCTCGCCCTTGCCACCATAAGGCATGGAGGCAATGCACGATGCACCTGCCGATTTCTTTGTCACCTTTCCCGGGCCGTAGAAATAGTTATTTGCTACATTCAGCCCGGCCAGCTGTGGGGATTTAAATGCCGGTAGCTTGCCTGTGAGAGAGTTGGTCTGTGTGTTTCTGGGGAGGGAAGAGGGAAAGGGGGCGGGGTAGGGGAGGGGTAGATGGAAAAAAAAAAAAAAAAAAAAAAAAAAAACACACACACACACACACACACACACACACACACACAAAAAAACAAAACAAAACAAAAACAAAAACGAAAAGGGAAAGGGGGCGGGGTAGGGAAGGGGTAGATGGAAAAAAAAAAAAAAACAAACAAACAAACACACACACAAAAAAAAAAAACAAAAACAAAAACAAAAACAAAAACAAAAACAAAAACGAGAAGGGTGGGGGGTTGTTGAAAGACAAAGAGATGATAAGCAAGCCAGTGGGAAAGGAAGGGAAGGCGAGGGGGCCTGGGGGGGAAGCGAGGGATCAGGGAGGAGGATGAAAGCTTACAGTAATTGAATGCGAGGGAGGTTGCCTATGGACTTGGGTAGGGCACCTGTCAACGCGTTGGAAGATACATCACTGAGGGCGGTGAGGAGGAGAGAGGCAGGTGGAGAGAGAGAGGGCTTGCTATTTTTGAGAATTCTAAAAAGTAACATCAACATGACTTGGGTAGGGCACCTGTCAACACGTTGGATGATACATCACTGAGGGCCGTGAGGAGACAGACGGGTGGAGAAAGAGGGGTTACTAGTGGGGTGGTGAAGAATCATGGCTTGTGGAC